CCCCCCCTTTTATTCGATACCTTGGAGTAGGAGAACCGAGTTCGATTCCTGAGTGGTGAGAAAATTTATAACAAGTATCGCGATCATTCTGAAGGGAGGTCATATCCCACTAAACCCAATTAGTCCCTGACAGGCAGGGTCGGAATTCTACCTCCTACATTACATATAATTGTGTCGATGGGGGCGTAAACATACAATTTCTTTATATTATAATGAGTTTTTCTCTTTTTTAAGAGGGGAAAGGCAGCGATCAACAGTAACATCCTTAAACAAAACATGCATAAAAAATAAGTCAAACCATTTCTCAGCAGCCTAACGAACATTATTTATTATAATTTATTCTTGTTGGTAAACACATGACTACAAGCAGTCCTCTAAATGAGCAATATACATTACTAGAGGACATGGAATTCAAAAGGCACCAACCTTATAGATGATGCTGTCATTGAAGTCTTTGCCCTCAAACTGGTGCAGGAACCCAGAGTCTGTGCTCCAGAACAGACGGATGTCCGGAATGGAAAACAGTTTCATGGCCAGTCGCTCCAGGCCTAGACCAAAAGCCCAACCAACCTTATTTGTGGCACCAGCTGTAAGAAATAGAAATTGGCTCTCAAGCATCGAGACTGACAAACACAGAATGATAATTCTTACAACTTAAATTTGCTCTACCCCATTTAATAATAATAATAATAATAATATATAACATTTATATAGCGATTTCCAAAAAAAAAAAATATGGACATTCACCTCAAATAGTGGCAGTAAAATATAAGAAAATCAGCTGAGATCAACAGCCTTTTCAACAGGAATGTCATGTTTAGTTAAAAATCACAATATATTCCTCTTCCATCATAGAACAAAGTCTATAAAATAGTGTATCCTGATCATCACATTGAGGTGCCAACGGGCTATGAAAAAAAAAATCGAAGTTTTCAGACCTAGTCGAAATGCCCACGCGCAGGGACTCAAAATTTACAGATCATATTGTCTAATACATCTTGTTTCAAGTCAATTTTTATATCAAGTGATATTATTACATGCACAGAGAGATTGTGTAAATGAATGAAGTCAGGCAAAAAGAGGACCATTTTAGAAATTTGCATTTTCGGGATTTATCCCGAATATCAGCACTTCTGATGGCAGCAGGAATGATATAGAGATACTTTTCTTATCAAAAGAGCTGAATAATAATGCTTGTGAATGAAGTCTGTCAACAACTGTAACAGTATAACCGAATCCACTAAGGTTAGTATTCAGAATTACCTAAAAACTTTTAAAGGATTTATTTTACTCAATATCGACACTTCAATACAAAGGATGGATCAAATATTTTTCTTTCACTACAAAATAGCTTTTCTTGTCTTTTCCAGAATCTGTCAGCCCATATAGTGTAGTGAGCCAGAAATTTGGTACATGAACAGACATTTACATGTACACCCAATATGACCAAGAATTTTTCTGCAAATCATCAACAAAACAAAACTACAAAAAAAAATACATTACCAGAATCCAAAAGTTTCTGCTCCATGACACCACAGCCAAGCATCTCCACCCATTCTTCCTGGTGGTAGATCTCAAGCTCCCACGAGGGATGGGTGAATGGGAAATACGCATCCACCCATCGCATGTTCAGATCTGATGTTGAGCAGACAAAATAAATACTGTCAAACCTGCTCTAATGGACACTTGTATATAAGACAATCACCTGTACAAAAGACCATTTCCCATTTCCCACTTGCGTTTTCTTAACATTATTATAATAGACCCTATGTAAAGAAGCAACCTGTCTACAATGGCTACTTTTCTCCTCGACAATGGGAGGCCCGTCTTAGACAATTTCGTCGGTACATCGTAATCATATTATTTTAATACAACCAGACCAGTGGACACCATTCTGGCCCTTGAGATAAATGTGCTTCAGCACAACTTGGCACCAGGCTATGTACCAGAGTGACAACTCATGAGGCCATTTAGGGAAAGCAGAGACTGCAAAAAAAAAGAAAAGATAGTTAAGCTGCAGTAATTTATATTACCAGAACACCTATTCTCAAGCATACAGTCAACCAGAACATGTAGATACGAATTAATATTCAAAGAAAAACATTTGTAAAAAAACATGAAAGACTGCAAAAACAAATACAACATGTGTACATACATATAAGCATACTCTTATGACTTTGCATGGACAATTTTCATAAGACAAATGTTGCAAGACACAAGTGCAGAAATTAATAATATATTTTTAAAAATCCCATCGCCAATTTAATTCCCAAATTATTAGAAAAACAGTTTTAGTTTTCAAACAATAGTGCATCTCCTCCTGACAAGAATTTTTATCCAAAAAAAAAATCAATGGTCTATATTTAAATTGAGAAGCTATACAGAACTGATTTATCTAGCATCAAGGCAACTTACATAAATATCCTTTCCCCCATTTTTGAAACACCAAAGAGGGTGGAAGACTTATTTTTTCAGGTCCACTGAATGAGAATTACTGAGCCATGAAACTTTGTGCACTGTGCAGGATGCATGTACAAAATGAAGTAAAAGTGTCTAAAGATATTAATATGCCACAAGTGTCTGCAAGATTTCAAGAACTTGAACTTCATGACACATTCTGAGCTATCTTGATTCCTCTCTAAGAATAATAATTTATTATTACAAGTTTTCAGCTCACCCTCCCCAAAAAGGCATCGCATTAGAGCCTCAAGGCACACTTTCAAATCATGTTCCACCAACTTGGAAGTTTCTAGAGAATGAGTTTCCTGTCTGGTGTTGTCTCTCCTCCCATCCTCAAACAGACTGACACCTGACAGGTCTGACACCTTGTTGAATAGCTGCAGAAAGACAAAAAAAAAACAATGGTTGAAACTTGGCAGAACATGCACTTCATTTCAAAGACATCATACGGGAAACTTGTTGACAGCACTGTTCTGGACAGTCCACCTGCCTGCAATGGTACAATTTAATAAAATAGGACAGTCTTGTGGAACAAAAGCCTTCTGCTTCTTCCCCACTCCCCTGTTAGACAGCAGTGTAGAGAATTGGTTGAGTTTCTTCAACTCAGAGTATAAATAATCTTAACACAGTAATTTGCAATCAAACCATCCAAACAGCCATAAGCTATATTCAAGAGAACTCTACTCTTGATCATCTAACTTGACTAGGCTTTTAAATTTTCTATAGTATTCACTTCAGAACAGGATTTTCTCTCAAAAAGCTGGGCTTATCATTTTTTACATTCAACTGACAAAATGTTTGTAACTGACAGAATGAAGCCTACATGAAAGGTCTGAGGAGGCCTGTGACTGACGGGTACTTCTACAGGGTCCATGACACAATTAGCCTAACTTCTGATCCAGCAAAACTTTTCAATTTGAATTTAACAAAAAGTTCAGCTGGAGCTGTACACATGTACAGTAGAACACGACTATAGCGGCACTACAGCGGGACCTTACCGGAACCCCCCTTTTTTTTCTCAATGTAAACTCAATTGCCAGAGCTCGGGTTTAGCGAGGCAAGGAAAGGCCCGAACTCGGACACAGTGGGAGAGATCGGACCAGCTCTAGCTAGGGGGAAGGGGTTGGGGGGCTGTAGGCGGGCTCCAAACAGGCAGTCAGCGGTGCGGCGTTGTGAATGGCCAGTCCAGTGATGAGTGAGGTGAAGCAGGTGGCAGAGAGATGCATTACGTGAGCCATTCCAAAAGTTTTTGTTTGTTTTGGTGAGCGTTTTTACGGCACTCACAACTGCATAAGGTCATATGAGCGTTTGAATGTTGCCCGTGTGGCGGTGCAGCCTACTCTTACCGATTTTAGACCACCAAGGGATCTTTAACGTGCGCAACTTGCACATGAGCCCTCTGAGACTTTTCGCCCTTGTCCGAGAAGACTAGGTGTAGATCTTTCCTACCAGAAGATCAGGGGTGTGGCAGAAAGACAGCAGTTTGGAGGAGCCAAAGAGCAGTAGAAAGGCTGCAGAAGAAAGACTTAGGAGCCCAGAGGAGGGGGCAAAGGAGGTGAGGGGGTGGGGGCAGAAAGTGGAAACGAAAGCAGACAACAGAACATTGCTAGAGAGCTGGAAAGGAGGTGAAAGGAGACAATTTTAGAGAAGAACATTTTTCCGTCGCTACCCGGATTCGAACCCGGGACCTTTGAATGAGAGGCCAACACCTTCACCTCTAGGCCATGAGAGCCCCCACTCCAAAAGTGATGTGCCGTAGCTTAGTTAGAGGCTCAGTATGAGAGGGTAAAGGCCACAGCCCTAGGCCTAGACTAGGCCAAAAAGTAAAAATAAAAGAAGAGGAGAGTGAGTAGTGTGTGATTCCTCATTCATTGAATTGTGATCGCTGACGCTCACAGGCATACGCACGCATCCAGTTCACCAGTTCTACAGTTGCTGTTCCAGTACGATAGACAGCACAAGCAACGAAACCGAGTAAATGATGGCTTCCAACAATGACAATAGGGAATGATTCTCACTCGAATTAAAAGCCGAGATAATCAACGAAGTTGATAAGAAAAGGAAGACTAATCAAAAGCGAAAATTTTATTGATAGGGAAGGGAGGTATTCATGTGAATTTTTAGAAGTTTTTCGGTAATTTGCTCATTGCATTCCTATAGCGGGAACTCGTTTACAGCAGGATTTTTCTTCTGGAACAAAATGTCCCGCTATAGCCGTGTTCTATTGTAATTGATTGCTTCTACAGGTCTACCACAAGTCAAGATGCTATCCCATTATACTGCCAGCCCTGGTGTACTGCCAACTTCACGTTCATCCCACGGTAGATAGTATTTAGGACGGGGTTTCACTGTACTCTAAAACTAGTCTTCGTATTTTGAAGTAAGAATCTTTTTCAACAAACAACCATAAATTCAGTATACAGTGGAACTCGGATTCAACGAGCTCGGATTCAACGAGAGGACATGGATTCCCCGTTTATTTTTCTTCTTTGAAATCAATACAAAATAATCTGGATTCAACAAGCACTTAAATCAGCAAGTTCGGATTCAACAAGGTCGCTTCCAGGGTGAACAGTGAACAGTCCCCGCAGACGAGGTTTCACTCATTTTTCTTCCACAACAAACTTTATCTATTCTCGGAAACCATACATTGCACCTGTATCGTGAACCGTTATTCACTTAGTCGATTGCATGCAACCAATCCGTGGCCTTCTTTCATACCAACATTTGCCTTGTTGGCAAGCGTGTGTTGGGATTGGATGGGCGCCTGCACACGTGTGACTGTGTGCGTGTCGGAGGGCACCAGCTGTCAGGGTGTGGAACATCGCAGATACAAACGTGTCACAGTCTTTTTCTCCTCCCTCGGTAACTTACCATTACTACAATGATAAGCTAGTCTTGAAGTAGATCTACGTAATGAATTGTGTGCTGGCCTATGGAATCTAAAGTTGATGTATGCTAGGCTAGGCTCTACACAGCATTTTGGCAAACAAACGAGATGACACAGGCTTGCATTTGAACTAATCGGTCTTTTTTTTGTGCACAGCTCATAATATGCAGGCATTTCAAGCACCACTTGTTACTTCTCTTTATAAACATTACTTGCTCATTGGCTGTAATTATCTACACAAAACCTCATGTTTGCTGTCACGAACACTCGGATTCAACGAGATTTTAGGTCAGCCCGGCGACCTCGTTGAACCTGAGTTCCATTGTATTTATAATAATAATTAGTTTGGTCAACTGAAATAGCATGATTTCGATGTTTGTATCTCTGTGAAAACATTTTCTGTGTCGAAGCTGTCGCATTAGAACAAATAAAAATTTGAATCAAGCACAACAGCTTTGAAAAGAGAGAAAAGCGCTTCAGAAAAAAAAAAAAAAAATTCATCAACCTTGCAATGCTCACCTCAAAATCTGAAAAAAGGCGCACCCCCTCCATTTGGTGGAACACTGGGTAATGAGTAGCATCTATGGCATCCCGTCTGTACACATCCCCTGCAACGATGAAAGCATCAAGTCCGGATCGAACGAGATCCCTCTGATGGGCAGATGTGTGGGCCCTCAGCATGTACTCCGAGTTGATGTAATAAGTGTCCGATGGCAGTCGACTTACGTGATTCTGAGGCACTAGCAGACTGTCAAAGTTCTGTTCATGTGTGACCACTGGGCTTAAATTGCTATAAGCTGAAAATATTGGGTTTCCTCTCCTCAAATACGACTTATGGAAAAAAGACTCGATGCGCTTATAGATCAGATGTAAAGGATGATGTTCTTTGTTGTGTAAGTTTCTACCGATCTTTGAGACAATTGTTGGGGTTGCATTTGTGAAGTGGTCAGTGGGATATGATTTGCCAAGAATTTCGACACTGTCTCCAAAACTGTGGCACACTTTGTTGGCAGGTGAGTGGTGTTTTGCTTCCCTGTGCAATGAAGCAGTGATTCTCAAGTATGTAGTGCATGCAGAAGACGGCAGAACAATGCGAGAGGTGTGCATCATCTGCCTAAGGAGCACCATATTGACGTCCTGATTGGGTAAATTTCTTGTCGGCTGAACAGAGGCAAAAAGTATATCAGATCAGGTCATATTATGTAGAAAGACATACAATACAAAAACACAATTTTGACTTCAAGTTCAAGCTGATCTTAGTCTTACATATAAGAGCTAATTTTTGTGACTTCTGCTACCACAGTTAGAGAAAATGCTCTTAGATTTTAGTTTGTCGCCAGAGTAGTTACACTGGAGATTCAGAACTTTGGAAGGAAAATAAATGATTCCCCCCCCCCCCAACCACACACTGTTTGTAATAATATGGTACAAGAAAGAGCATTTCTAACCAGGGAAATATGATCAATTTTAAGCATGTATGCACAACCAACCTAAAAGAAAATTGAAGACAGGAGCATGGTTAGTAAGGAATCTTGAAGACCAAATAGTAGAGTTCACCCCATGGTACCTGCTGCAAATATTTAATCGAATAGAATCTAGTCTTATCAATACACAATACACTTGTGTGGATCAAATATAAAGTCGTCCATGTTTTGAATTAAATCTTAAAAATGAGATACAGTGGAAACCTGATATAACAGGGATGGTGGGAATAGAGAAAAAGTCCTGTTATATCCGATCCCTGTTAAATCAGAAATGCAAAGAAAGTAAGCATTTGTGGACTAATCCAGCTGTACTTATTCATGGATAGTTTCCCTTGCCACAAGTACCCATGAACAGGGGTTTTGGCACCAACTTTCTCCTTGCCTCCTTAAACTCCATCAGAAGAATTTGGTCCACAGCATCTGTGTCGGGCAGTCTCATCTTTTTTCGATCCAGAGCAAACTTTCCATTGGAGTATGCTGCCACTATCTTCTCTCTATACTCTATCCTTGATGGTGAGAATCGACTCTCGTGGATGTAGAACTGACGACAAATCTCTGCCAGTGGAGCTGGCTTTTTGTCTACAGTCTGGATTATTTCGTATATTTTGTCAATTGGAAAGCATTTTCTCTTGCGCTTGACATCGTTGGTGGCCATAATGAAAGAAGTGGGCTTCGATCTAGGCCGACCGGTCGTCCAGAGTGCGTTAAGCTTAGATCTACACATGTAGCCTACTGTTGTTCGTGAACAGTCACAGTGTGATGTGGTGCATGCGTGTGTGCTGTGAACTGCGAAACAACAGATTTGGCCATGCGGCAGGCCTGCTCATGACACATTACATGTGCGTGTTTCTATGTTTCGGGATAGATCGAGGTCTGCAGCACACCGCAGCCCTCTCTCCCTTCATCCGCTGCGTGTCCTTGCAGTGGCTCTCTCTCTCTCTTCTCTCTCTCCCTTACTTTGTATACATTGTTAATGAGCCTTTGTTCCTGCTATAAACGGTTGGGCTCCAATGAGGCCCCGTTATTGACTTTTAATAGAGACAAAGAGTAGGAAAAAACGGAGATTTAAAAAATCCCTGTTATTACCGGGCCTGTTTTATATGGTTTCCACTGTACTTGTGTGGCATCGTGGTGAAATCAGGTGCTCGTCAAAAATGATCTTACTTTCACTTTTTTTCTTCGACTTGTACCAGTGGGTGTCGCGGGGAGATACAGGCATCTGTCTGCAGCAAGGCGAGTGGCCTGTAGGAGGGACATCCTGTGAGCTCTAAGGGTGTCTGCAACAGGTTCACTTGAGTGTCGCCTTGGTCTTCCTCTGGCTCTCCAGGCACAATATTTGATGTTGTATGCCCTCAGAGCTGGTTGGTTTGAGGGCATCTGTGTGAGGTGTCTGAATCACTTGATCTTTAGGTTTTGCAAAGTGTGGTAGAACGGGTGTTGCACCTACCATGTCCCTTATGATTTCATTTTTTATTTTGTCTCCTCTTGTCTTGTCAACTGCTCTTCTTAAACATTTTATTTCACATGTGACCAGCTTCCCTAGAGTACTTTTGTTAGGGACCATGTCTGGCACAGATATTGAGCATTGGTAGGAAAATGGCATTGGTGAGCTTCGCCCTGGTGCTCACAGGGATATTGGGATGTTTCAGGAGAGGGGCAAGTTGATAGTAATGATAGCTGACTAGATTGGCTTTCTGGAATCTAGTCTCTATTTCTTGATCTAATTTTCCATTTTCTGTGAAAATGCTGCCCAAGTATTTGAATTCGCAGCTTTGTTTTAGTTGGGATCCATTGATGTTGATATCTACTTTGTCTGGTATCCTGCTAACTGTCATGACCTCAGTCTTGCTAACACTGATCTTCATGTCTTATTTCTAGCAGCTCGCATATATTTAGTTGGTTCATGATATGCTCCGGTAGTTGAGTCTTGTTGTTCATCATTGCCAGGTCATCTGCAAACACGAGTTCGTTGAGTGCATCTGGGTCTTGATTTGCCTCCTTTGTAATCTGGTCTATTTAGATCACAAAGAGCAGAGGGGAGAGATTGAAGCCCTGCCTGCCTGACTCTGGATGTTACTGAAAACCAGTCCAATGTTCCACTGGTAGTGCGGACTGCGCTTCTGCAGTTGGCATAGATAGCCCTGATGTTGTCTAGCAGTTGTCCCTTGATTTTGATGTCGTACTGCTCGAGGATCTTCCATAGTCTTGTATCTATTTACTTGATCAAAGGCTTTTTCCTGATCCACAAATTACGAGATGGAGATTTTGGTCGTATTCCAATGCCCTCTTACACAGTTGTCAGAGTGCAAAGATTGCATCAGTACACCCTCTTCCTTTTCTAAAACCAAACTGGGCATCACTGGGAAGATGTCAAAATTATGACATTGAAAAAACACTTTTCTGCAGATGGCAATTTTTTTTTCTGGCAGCTCAATTACCTTTTAAAATTTTACATCTAGATCTAGATTCTATTTCTATGTGGATTTTATCTGGGGGTGCCCATTGCGGATGGGATTGGGTCAGTCCGGGTCAGGGGTGATCGCCCCACTCGTCGCCTGAAGCGTTTGTTGTTGAGGCGATGAGTCGGACGCGATTGGCTTGTGCCACGATAGCCGCTTTGAGCCCTCAATCTGGCTTGCTAACCGCCCCAACCCGACCCCCCAATGGGCACCTCCTATTAGTCCTTCTGGCTGTGTAGCCTACTATTATATCATTGAATAATGTATTGTTTATTGTAATTGTATGGTGTGTTGATGAGCTGACAACGACTGAATTGAACGAAGTTGGCAAGTTGGGAGTTTGGAAGGAAAAAGAATACGAGTTCTTCTGCAGCAGCACTGATTTAGATAGTACAATCAATAACATAGATTCTAGATCTAGAATCTAGGGTGGGTCAAGTCAAGTTTCTCCCTTTACTTACTTTCTGAGTCTCTAAAAATCTGACTTTTCATAAGCCAAGCCGACCCGACGAGCGGGTAAGATTGAAGAATACCTGACCAGCGGACTGACTTTGCCTATGTCTCAACCTTAGGAATTCATGATTTTCCCCAGTTTTTATCTCTCAATGGAGAATCTCGAGCCGGTAGATCTAATCTAATCATTAAAAATTTCGTCAGGGGGGAGACCCCCTTGAACCCTGAACCCCCCCACCCCCTCCTTCACCCGCCGCACCCACCCAACATTCTCGCGCAATAATGTATACAAGTGATCCGGTATTCTTCAATCTTCCCGACGAGCGGATCACATACCTGCTCCTAAAAAGAAGGCTACAATGTTCGTATTTCTTATCTCTCGACTCTTGAATCGTTGAATGACTTTTGGGACTCGCCAGTCGCCGCAAAGCGAAAGTAGGAAAGGGGAACCAGGAAAACGGAGAGCTGGCAAGTGAAGGATTTTTTGCCTGTCTCATCAACAGCCAAAATTAAAACCATTTCAGTTCTTAGCTTTCTCTAAAACATTGAATGTATTCCATACTTCATCTTCAAAAAGAAATATTCTTCGAAAGATACATTCTAGACTCCTGAATAGTAGATATCTAGATCTAATACAGTTTTTAAAAATTAATTTCCCCAGGCTGTTGTACAACTAACAAGTTGTTGCATTCAGCGTAAAAACCGCGTGCCTGGTAGGCTATTTCACTCCAAGAAACTGCTATTGTGTTTGGACTTGGATCTGGTATTGTTGCAGAAATAATCAATTTAATCTAGATATAGATCTAGTCTAGCTATTTAAAATTGGTGATGAGCTTTATCGTGTTGAAATTTAATAAGCAAATATGATAGCCAACAAATCCATATTGTTGATAAATTTTTTCTCTTTTGTTTGTATGCTTCTGTGCAATAATAATATAATATAAATCTACGTCCAATCCATTAATCTTACTCATTTTGACCAAGATGGCAGCCTCCACAAGAACGAAAGTGTTATCATTGTACAAGGAACTTCTCAAAGAGAGCAAAAGAGTCACCGATTATAATTTCAGGTAAATCTATATAATTATAAAAGTTTATGTGTTGACGGATCACATTTTTTTGGGGAACAATATCGGTAAAATGTCTGTTTCTAGAATCTAACTAGATTCTAGAACAATTTTCAAGGTGCTATTGCATAAGAATGATTTTGCATTGTCGGACGGCTGTTCGGCAAGGGTAATTTTGGGCAACGAAGTGTATACTGACCTGGTAACTAGGAACAAAGTCACGAAGTATACAGATCCCGTAGAGGAAATCTTGTTTTTAAAAAAAACTCATGCACCCGTCTCATGTAAGGAAGTGGTTATCCTCACCCGGGGTGAGAATAAAAATTGATCTACCTCTCACCCCGGGTGAGACTTCCCAGCGTAGGCTATTCGGTGCTTTTTCGGTAGTTCCCACCCCCCTTATTTGAGCCTGACCTACATTTAGATCTATGCGTTTGATTCGCGGCGAGCTAAGATCAAACCTAACAACTGCAAAACACATCCCCTTTACGCAGATGTGTGCGTATATTACCCCTTAAACCTGCAAATTACCCCCTTAAACTTAAAGTTTTGGTGGTGCGTGAGCTTTACTCTTTAAAATTTCGTTTCGGGGGTTTGCATACGCTTTAAAACTCAGGTAGTGTGCGTCTTGCAATCATCATTTTCCCCCTTCTCTACCCCGAAGCCGAGTCAATGATTTAACTACACACCCACACACATAACACCGCAGTCACCTTTTGTCTGGGACTGTGTCAGAAGCAGAAGACCTAGCCTAGCCTAGAATTAGATCTAGAATCTACTCATCAGCTGCGCACAGTTCCTGGCGACACCGGCCTGCTTGAGCACAGAAGCTCCGCCCACATTTTGGTCGCTCGCATTATAATTTGCCGGTGTCGTGCCTTGAGTTTACCCTTGCCGTGAGATTACCCCCATCCTTCTTTAACACACTAGATCTAGTAAACTTGAATTGTTCACCTTCGAAAGATTGGGATGGCTCTGAAGAATAAGGAATTAGTTATTTTCCAATCCTGCTACTCATCCCGATGTATTCGGGATATCCAGATTTTTTGCCCCAAATTTCCAAGCATCTCGATTTTCCCAATGTTGATCCCGTGTATTCGGATTAAAAAATTTTTTTTTTTTTGGTCCCGTCTGTTGTGCCGGATTTTTTGGTAAAATCTTAATCTGCCTTCTTCTTTGTCGTGGGAAGCACCACGTCGTTAAACTTTTTGTCAGCAGAAACTCAAAGCACTATTTTCCGAAATTTCTATGTCGAATTTAGTTGTTGTGTTGGATCTTTGCACGCCAGTGTTTTTTCAAGAAACATGTATAATGGAAGTAGTATTGGTTGGGAATTCCGACTTGGGATCAAGACCTAGGCCCTAAATCATAATCATTTTCGCTTTTATTTTTGTTTCAACTCAGAATTCTCTGATGATGGCCTTGGTGATAGCTGTTTAGTTTAAATTGCGACGCACAAATGATCAATATTATTCGTAGTTCTGCTATTACTTTCAAAACAAGCTTTATCCGAGTTCTGGTTAGCCGGGCTCGTCATCAAGACCCGTCAGTAAAATTCTTTCAATCGCGCTTTCACACCACGTGACATGTCTCCGACCAAAGTGAGTTCCGCGTGTGTCGTGGACCGTCCGTTTACGGGGTCAATTTAAGTTCATGCACACCGGCTGAAGCGTCTTTCGGGACTTATCTGGGGGGGACGGGGCGCGTGTAAAACACTTAAACTAGGACAGCTTGACGTGATATTTCAGGATTTAAAAAAAATAATGGTAAAACACACACAGGCACGGGTACGCACACACTCACCTCCCCCCACACACACATACACACACACACACATCCCTGGAAATTGTTTAAGTCAGTTTGGCAGTGACCTTGGTGATTTGTCGTTGATCCCGATTTTTCCCCCCCTGAGATCCTGACTTTTAGTTTTTTTAAAGTTTTAGTAGAGTTTTTACGGCGCTCACAACTGCATAAGGTCATATGAGCGCCAAGGGGTGGATGTCAACAGAGAAGTCCTCACAGGGAATCAGACTTACTCTGCTCTCCTCTCTAGCTTCAACAGCACAAAGTCTGCTTTGACTATCGAGGCACCCCAGAAATAGCGGGTCACAAGAGTGAGAGTGTGACAAACATACAAAAGAAGTAGACGGAAATGATAATAATAAGGATTAGGAAAGAAAAGGCAGCACAGTTATGAGTATGACATTGTTAGATCAGCCCATTTACAGTTCTACTGAGCACTAGCACGAGAAATGTCCCTCCTTTGGGAATGACCTAAAGACACTTCAGTCAGGGGGTGATCCTGACTTTTAGATTTCATTGATTGGCAGGTCTGATTTTCTTTGTGCATTACAGTTGGAATTGACCCCTTTTGGTTTGTCAAATTTATTTTATTTTTGATTGGCTCAACCACCACCACTCTTCCCCCCTCCAAATGGACACAACTCTAAGTGTGGTCAGTATTACCCATTTATTTCTTGCTGTTACTAAGAAACCTTAAGTAAATTACAAAATTGTTAGCATTCAATCATAGTAATGGTCACTATATGTGTGTCTTAGTTTAGTTTAGTACAGTGTTTTACGGCGCTCGCAACTGCATAAGTTCATATGAGCGCGTGAAACACAAGTTGGTAGCATTCGCAACAGTTCACTGCACGGTTGGTCGACAATTAGATTTTAAAATGCTAAAATACTAAAATTCAGTGTAAATATATTTGTGATTTAAAACAACTCTTATAAATAACAATAAAAATTTTGTGGCTGTGTGAATGTGCGTGCGTGTGAGTTAAATGTTTACATGCAAAAATTCTTACTATAAAATTAGGAAATAATTGACTTTTACCCTTTAAGTTTCTAAAACAAGGGTTTAAATACCCCTTAAGATAGAAAACCAAAGGGTGAAAGAACCTCTTAAGTTGGTCTGAAAAGGGGAGCCCTGCAAGCCCCCCTGAAACCCCCCTACTCTTGGGGCCAAAACCCGTGAATAACAATTGCGGGGTGGGAACTACGGAAAAAGCGCCGGCTATTCTCACCTGGTGTGAAACAAGACCTGTTTTTCCTCATTTCGGAATGTTGTCTATCGGTGTGGATGATCAAATTGATAAAAGCCAAGAAAAAAATTATAATGTTATAGCACAAAAGTAAGCTAATTTGATCATCTTCAAAGATGCTATGGCTATTTCACTTTTCGAATAGAGCCGAACTACGCGGTTCGCCATTTTGTTTTGCCCGGAAGTTCTTGCAAGATCTACTCCTCCCCTCTCTCTCTCTCTCTGTCTCTTTCTGAATACTGTCTATCGGTGTGGACGATCAAATTGACCAAAAGAAAGTTTTAAAATGATGTCAAAACACAAAACTAAATTAATTTGGTCGTCTACAAAGAAGCTACGGCTATTTAACTTTCCAAATCGAGCCGAACTGTGCGGGTCGCCATTTTGTTTTGCCCGGAAGTTCTCGCGCTACTCCTCTCTCTCTCTCTTTCTCTCTCTCCACTGCCCACAGACAAAATTGCACGCTTTTAGGCTAACACTAACAGTAGTAATAGTAATTATAGATCTAGAACTACCCCCAGTGGGTCGGGGGGATATAAATAGACCCACTGCTTCGTCTGCAGAAGGTGCAACCCCCTCAAAGACGGAGTGTCGCACACGGACCCCAACCCTCTGGGATTCGTGTGCGACACTCACTTTGGTGTATCTTCCTCTTCTCCTTCCTTCTTTCTTTCTTCTTCTATCTTTTCTCCCACCGCTGACCTCAAGTGCAGTAAAAAGAGAGGTCACCCATCCCACAGAGTGGGCGCCTCGTTGACCGTGAGGTGCGACCCGTGCGGAGGGAAACCGGGTACCTGGCGGTTGAGGTGAGATCAGTCCATGGACTGTCCCTCGCCAATACACCTCTTTGGCCCAGGTTTTCCTCTTAGACGGGAGGGTGGCACGGCCCATGCCACTCAATCGGTTGAGAGCTGAAACCCCATCAAGCCCTGGGTCAATCTTGACGGGAGGGTCTTGTACTTTCTCGTTGAGAGTATAGCTCCGGGGTAGCCCTGGCACAGCTCTGGTCATCCGAGCAATGTGTCCCCTTGTTGGGCTCCATGGCGGGCGGGGAGCCCCGGAGTAGAATCAACCATAAATTTCATATGGAATCCAAATCTAAAAAAGACCCTTCCCCAGCTCCCAACGTTAATAAAAAGTCTCGGGATGCGGGTGCGGCCGCCGAGCCGAGCAAACTATCAACCACCACAGGTAAAAGGACCTTTACGGACGCCTCCTTTCTCCCTTCTCCCGGGGAGCTTCTGAGGCAACCGTACTTGACCATCTGCAGCACCGATGCGCAGAAGAAAATTACAGATCTTAACCTGTTTAAGACAGGAGAAGCACTAAGACAAGTTCTGGGGTACATTCCAACGAATGTTCAGAAACTGTCCTCTGGTGCTCTCCTCGTCAAATGCGCATCGGAAAAAGAACTGGCCAAAATGGAAAAAATCACGACCTTCGGCGGTGTTCCTTGTGTATCCGAGCGACACCAGAAGTTCAACCGATCGAAGGGCGTGGTCCGCAGCCATGAGCTGAAGGGCTGCTCCAACGAGGAAATTGTGGCAAATTGCGAAGGTGTGGTCGAAGCCCGCCGGATTACTCTTCGGCGGGGGGAGACCACACTCGAAACGAACACGATAATTCTAACTTTCGATTCGTGTCGCCCTCCAGCCACCGTTCGGGCATCTTACTTGATACTCGAAGTACGACCCTATGTGCCGAACCCTCTGCGCTGTTTCAAGTGTCAGAAGTTCGGCCATAGCCAGTCACGATGCCGTCACGCAGCCGTGTGTCCTCGTTGTGGCAAGACCGGGCATCCTGAGAAGGAATGCAAGGCTGGTCCTTGTTGCCCCAATTGCCACGGCCAGCACACAGCTTTCAGCAAGGAGTGCCCGACTTGGCTCCAAGAACGCGCAATACAAGAACACAAGACGCGAAATGGCTGTTCCTTCAAGGAGGCCCGAAAGGCTG